CGGGCCAAACGGACCCGGTCCTAACGGTTCCTAGGCAAGAACCGGCCCAAGCCCACCTCTAGCAGTCCTACCGGTCCCGGCCCACTTAGCCAGTGGGCCCGGACCGGCCCACTTGTCACCCTTAGCCTTGGAAGATGATATTTTGGTGAGATTTGGGCAACTACAAGATCAAGACATGATAAACCAAGAATAAATTTATTTCATATATACTGATGTACATGGCTGAAAAATTCAAAAACAATCAGCAACCTTCATGATAGCGATGAAGATATATGACTGCATTCCTAATGTTGTTGATGTAGCAGTTTCTACTAGGAAATATTCAAGATGCTAATCTGGTATTTAGTATAAGATGAGTTCAAAAATGTTGTCACAACCTCGATAGCAGCACTGACATAGAAGCTGTGATTGCTATCGCTGACAAATAATACCCTCGAGCTTTAATTCCCTGAAAACATTGTATGCATGTAAAATGGGTAAGTAAGTCCAGAATGATATGTGACATAAAATCTGTAGTAGACAGTAGAATAGAACACTGAGTGCACGCGTCTGCTATCATTGTTTCAGCATTACTTGTTAACTAGGCTAGTTGAGATAAGCTCAAGTATCCTTTATCAAGTCTTGAAAATCTGAAAAGGTGTCTTAAGAAGAATGAGATATCATCAAAACCAGGTCAAATCTAATTTACTATGAAATGAAATCCTCATATATGAACAGAAGGAACATGGAACATATCAACAAACAAAGCGTATTTTCCTTTGAGAGAGAGAAAACACATTTGATTGAAAAGACAAACAAAGACACTCTTTCATGAAACATGCTAGTTCTAGGAAAAGTAACTATTCACCTTGACAGTTTGATAGTCAGTGAGCTACAATAGCAGATTTAAGAGCCTGCTATAAAAGCAGCATTCACAACTGATATATGTTCCTAGAAGTTTATTCTAAGTGCTCCAACAAATTCTAGAGGTGCACACGAAAAAGAAACAGCAAGTACACAAATCAACAAACCTCCACAAAGTGAAAGCCCCAGATCAAGGAGCAAGAGCGAGAAATAAGAGGGAAGGAAGAAAAATAGATTCTTCCAAATGATTAGCACTTCAAAATAAAAAGGAGGTAAAGTTAAGTTATAATTGGTTGCATAGCTAATGCAAGAGCTTCCCTAATACATACCATGGGATTGAAGGCCCTTTCATCACCTAGATTTGTGAAAGAAACGGAACATCCGAACGCAAAATTAAGGCAAGGTTGAGTGGCCCCATTTGGATACACAACCGATGGGGGACAAGTGTATTTCTTTAAGACTCTAACAGGATTCGACAGAGGAGGAACAGGAAGATGAGATGTGACGAGTCAACAGAACTTATTTCAGTTGTTTGTTAGATTGACAAACACTTACTATGACTACTGAGGACATTTACTAACAAAATAAAGCAGCAGATCCATCATACCTCTACTTCCGCTGCAAATCTATTAACCCATCTCTTTAGGAAGTACATGGATGCAGGATGCATATTATTCAACAAGGTCACCCCAGCCTAAGTTCTTCATGTCAGCTTATCATCACTTCTACAATGCCTCCGAGGACAAAATAAAAGCTAGTAAATCTTTTTGGAAGTCCCAATTAAAAATCAGCATGCCTAATTTCCTTAGACTCGAGTGTTAAGGAAAGACAATGGAGTTCAATATGACTCCGTCATATTACGGTAACAGAGCCAGCGAGAGAGGCGCCGGAGGGAAGTTCAAAAAACCGGCGGCGAGGAAACCTCCGGCAACTCCTTACGACCGTCCACAATTGAACCGAACCGGTGGTCGGACCGGCTGGTTATCGAAACTAGTTGATCCGGCTTACCATATTATCTCCGGCAATGCCACCAGAATCATCCCGTCGTTCATCTCCAATGCCATTGCCTCCACTCCTCCTCCTCTTGAAGAAATTCACAGTACTTTTATTGAACATGTTATGTGCAATATTACTATATTAGGGTTTCTAAGAAATTTTTACTCACACTATTTTTTTGTTTTGCATAGTATTGTGTTATTGCCCTTCCACTTATTTGCCGTCTCTTACGACGTTGTTATTATTTTTCTGGTTTCTTTTGTTGTTATGGATCTATTCTTTTCTTTCTTTTCTGATATTATTGTCTCTTCTATTGAGCCGAGGGTCTCCCGGAAACAGCCTCTCTACTCTTCCGGGGTAGGGGTAAGGTCTGCGTACACTCTACCCTCCCCAAAACCCACTAGTAGGATTTTACTAGGTGTGTTGTTGTAAAGTTCTTTTTTTGGTAATTGTGATGAATTATGTTGGACTTTTGGCGAACTAAAGTTGCAAGAATTAACCTTTTTGGTTATTCTAGTTTCACTTGATCTGTTGTGGAATGTAATTCTAGTAGCTATGTAGTTATATGCAATATTACAAAAAAATTGTCTTTGTTATGTTTTTCTTGCTATTTGTGATGGAATTTGTTGGTATTTTGGAGAATTAGGGTTGCAAGAATTAACCTTTTTGGTCATTTTAGTTACACTTGATCTGTTATGAAATGTAACTATAGTAGGTATGAGATTTGTACTTTTGTTGTGCATCGAACATGTTACGTGCAATATAGGGTTTCCAAGAATGTATCTTTGTTATGTTTTTGGTAATGGTGATGAAATATGTTGGTCTCTTGGTGAATTGGTGCTGCAAGAATTGACCTTTTTGGTTATTTTGCTGCAATTGGTGAACTAGGGAGCAAGTTTTACCTTTTTGGTTACTCTGCTACAATTTGAGTTCTTAATCTCCATTTGTTACAATCCGGCTTACTGAGGACATGACCCTGGATAGGAAGGTGTGGAGGTCAAGAATTACGGTAGTAGGCTAGGTAATCAAGCGGTGTCCTTGCTCGATCCAGTAGTTTTAATGCATCCCTCAGTGTTAATTTTGTATTTTCTTTTTATTATTAGATTTCTGTTATTGCTTACTGTTTCTCTTACTTTGGTTTTCTGTGTGGTTTGCTGGTGTTGTTGCTTGCTGTTACTCTTTTCTCTATATCTTTTTTGAGCCGAGGGTCTTCTGGAAACAGTCTTTCTACCTTCTTCGGGTAGGAGTAAGGTCTGCGTACATTCTACCCTCCCCAGACCCCACTAATGGGATTACACTAGGTTGTTGTTGTTGTTGTCGATTGTTATTCTCAAAACATATAAAAGTTCTTTGTTTTTAAGCTGTTGATCCACTCAATAAGTATTAACCAGTATTTCCAAATGTTCTCTAGCACCTTTTCTAATCTCTCCTTACCCTTTCTCCATTTTTCCAACTCAAGCACCAACAGTTTTCTTGAAGACGTCTAGAACAGTACGCCGTCCATGTAAAAAATTGGCATGATACATCACTGATCAGTACCAGATCTGAATAGAGAAACTTTAAACCAAAAGCTTCAGCGTGATGNCACACCCTTTTCTCCAAACATGGTACATACTCTCAATCCCTTCCCCGTTGTTATTGACTACGAGAAAAAGGGGCTTAAAGCGGTAGGGAAAAAATATCTGATTCTATAAACATGTCCTAATGCATTGAAATAAAAGGACTCATTTTACCTTTTTTTTTAAGAAGGTGAAACATGTAACCCAAGAATGAATGGGGATTCCTCATGTTGTTTCGCTCCAAAAAATATGGGAGGTATCTCTCATGCTACTCTCATGATACTTTCACACTCCCCTTTTAGGTTCATCTTATATATTCATTATTAAAGATCACCGCTTAAGAAGCCAGGAATGAGAAAAAGATTGAAATATCTGCTAATATACAATTCTGAACGAATGTAACCCTTTTTTACAAAAGTCTGAACCAAGTGGACCTTCCTATAATATGCATTAGTAAATATTAATCTCTTTTTAATGAACCGGGTAGTCATAGGATTGATTGAATTACTTTCCCACAGAGGTATATATCAGTGCACTAAGACGAAACCCATGAAATCCTAAAAACACTGACTTTCTTAGTCTTCCTTTACCTTTTTGCAAAGGAGCAGTATGAAGTGTAAAAAATAAACTTCACCTACACTTCTGATTTTAGCAAGCATGTAACTCAATTCAATACATGAGGTTTCCAGCATATTTACGGCCTGCTACACATTGAACCCGTATATGTTTCTATGTAGGAATATGAGGTTGAATTTCTTGTATAAGGGACCAATCAACGTGTCTTCTTTTTTTTTCTTTTTAAAGTCATTTAAGATAACATTTTTTCCTAAGCTATGAGCGGCAGCGCTACGTAGATGATCCAGAACTATACAGAAACACTATGCTCACAACTATTCACTCTTTATCCAGAATATGAAGGATGACCAACACACAGCATTGATTCAAAAAGTGAAAAAGATCCTCATACCTTCAAAGAGAAAAGCGAAGATGCAGCTGATATATCTTGCAGCCCAGAGAAACCAATATCATAAGAAATACTACCATCAGCTTTGAAGAGTCCGAAGTTCTTCTCTGACGATTGACCCGGCTTTGAATTCTCATTGAACAGTGCAAAAATATATGCCTTCAACATTTTTTTTGGCCTCATTGGAGTTCCTTTCCTCTTGGCAAGCCTTTTTCGCAGATTATAATTATATGTACTAGCATTACCTGGCGTAGCAGCAGGTTCGTTCTCATCCCCATTAGACGCCCAGCCTGTTTCAGTAACTATGACTTCCATTTTTCTGAAACCAGCATTCTCTAGAGCTGCATATGCTGCATCAATCTGAGCATCGAGCAGGTTATCATAATGAAGAAGAGTTCTATTGTCAACAATTCCCCCATTCGGCTGAAAAAGAGCATAATTTATGTCTATTTTGTCTGAATTGTACGTGTAAGCCAAAAAGGGGTAGGCATTTAAACAGAACGGAGATCCAATTTCTGAGAATAACTGTAAAAGTGGCTTCATCAACTGAGCAACACCGTCTTTAAATATACAAGCGGAGGGAGGGAATGAATTAACAAAGACGGCCTGTGAGTGTGCAGTCGATATCTGAACAATGTCACTTATCCCGAGCTTTTGTGTTGCATTATATACATTCTTTACAGCATTCAGAAGAGCTATCTCTAGTTCGTTGTCACTGCCCCCCAAAACTTCATTTCCCACAGCGATGCCGACAATGCGGGTACCGGGAAGGAATGCCTTCACATTATCTTTTACCCAAGTCAGAGCATGATCTGCATTAGCACTCATTTCTTTTACAAATCCGTTCGGAAGTCCAACCACCAACTCAAGCCCTGTCCCTTTAAAGGCATTAAGGACACTGGGTTCTGCATCATATATTCTAACATTCTTAATTTTTGCCGCTCGAAGGAGTTTAACAACTTTATCAGGTGAAGGGATGTTATCTGCGATTCTCCCATAGTTAATTCCATAAGTTCCGGTGAATGCTCTTGCAGTCAGTTGAGCTGAAAACAGAAGGTGAAGAAAATGCAATAAGTACATTCCACATGTAACATTAGCGACTCAAAACGTGAAAGAATGCAGATATAAACCGACGGGCTGAAACTATCTCTGTTAACCAGCCTATCAAGCCACACGAATCAACTTAATGTTACAAATGGTCCATATAACTAAAATTAACATAGACTTGCAGGAAAATTCTTCAGTCAAATCTTAATTTTTTGGAAAATATATGGTAAAAGAACTGTAACATTTGCAAACAAAGCATCACAATAAATACATCAAACAACATTGTCCCTATTCATCAGTTATACAGCTTAATAACCTTATAGGAGTACTATAGAAATATAAAACTAAGGCTGTTATACCAATCAGTGGCAGAGCCACCCTTGTCCAAGGGTCGTCAATCGGCCGGAAAATTAAACTGTGCAGAACTGCAGATAACAACAACAACAACAAGTAATCCCACAGGTGGGGTAGGTGGGGTCTGGGAGACCTTACCCTACTTTGAGAAGATAGACTGTGTAGATAGATTAAACAAAATTTATGTATACATACTATATGTTGAATTTCCTTTTGACTTCTTTATATTTTTCACTCCTCTTAGTAAAAATCCTAGTTCCGCTTTTATCAAATCCATTCACATAAGCAAGAAAGGCTGCTACCAAATTCCACTGCAGAAAGATGAAACAGCAAATAGCTGACTCCACACACACACACAC